TTACCCTCAAATAAATGAAAGTGCCTTGCATAGAGATTTATTATGGGACACCGGATAAAATAATGATGTCCATAGGAATCTTCTTGCTGATTGCTACACAGACTATAAGTTCCTAGAAGCAGAGATCAGCTACTTTGCTTATATTACTCCATGAAGTGCCAAGTACATTACTGGTGCTGCATAAATACAGGCATTCCTAAATTAACAAGGTATTTGACAAAGAAGTTCCTTTCAAACAATGCCTTTCTAAAACTGCCGATTTTTCTTTTTTCCTTCTTGTCCTCTGTCCACCTGGAAGTTTTTTTAGTAGCACCAGCACTAAGAGGATGGTAAAGAAAGCTGAAGACATACAAAATTTCATTGTTGTGCTGCAAAAATTTGTCTGCAGTAAACAACCCAATGCAGCTATAATTCGGGAAATAAGGCTCTATTCTAGCTAATCCTGCAGCTGTGTGTGCCTGCCTGCAATAAGGAAAGAAAAGACCATCTACCACCAAAATCCCTTACTAAGTAAATGGCAAAATAGAGATAAAGCCTCCCCCACCATTATTTCAGTTCTCCCTGACATCTTTAACCAACAAAAGGGAAGTGTAAGCTGATGAGATTTTAAAATGCATTTTTAAAAGCTTTAAATGGTATGTAGAAGCTTAAACATGTTTTGTTTATTTGTGCAATGTTTACATGGCCTGGTTGTTTCATTTAATGCATGCACATTGTTAGTTCTGAATACAAAATTTGCTGAAATCTGCTCTCTCTTTTTTGAGCTGCAGGACTACCATGTTTCCATGTTATCTCTGCCTGTGGTAACAAATTTGCTGTTAAAGAAGTGATGTCCAGGATCATATCTACTTTGTTTCCTGAGGTATACCTGTGCTGTTAAAATATGGCAAAGCATGCATACAGTATTTATTATATGATTCTCATCTTTAAAAAATGGACTTTTATTTCAACTTCCAAGAAAACATTTCCCATACATAATACAAACTAGAATCTTGTTAGACAGTTCTATTTAGTAGCCAGTAGAGGCAGCCAGAACAGGAGTTGCTTGATTGTCACCATCTTCTCCTTTGCTATTGGACTCTGCCTTTTTCAGCAAAGTGAAAAGAGCTGATTCAAGAAGCTTATTGCCTTGTTGCTCTCTTTTCCTAGACAGACCAAAAATGTGTACTAGCTGTTTTTGAAAACCTCAAAAGCAGAAATCACGCTTTAAACATCCAAGCAACTAGTGTTACATGCTGACCCAGCATTTCACGTGAAATAATTTAAAATGAAATTAATGGAACATTGCAATATGGCCTTAGACTCAAAATCCTATGCACACTCATCTATGGCTGGCCTCATTCATTCCACTTTCATTCATCATAGGCACTTACTTCTAAGAAATATGTTTACACTGCTTCTAAGTTGAACAAAACCCTAAAAGTGCCTTACACTACCATTAATTTTTGTTATCACCATCACCATACAATTATAATGCTTCTAAACAGTTCACAGCAAGTATAAACTAAATGTCTTCTAGTTTGTAATAAATGTCTAAAATATATACCTTTGACAATAAGATCTATATAGTTTTGCAGTCTGGCATACTGCAGAGGGGATTGCAAAGCATGATTAGTGGCTGCATTACAAATTATCCATCATTTCCACCTAAGAGTATACAGATGTCCCTTTTATATCAGACCATCAATTTGTGAAGAAGCATAACAGTGCATTTTAACTATTGATAGGAGCAAAACCAATGCTGGTCAAAGCTACTGGCAGTTGAAGAAATTCCTCACATTTAAGCTATAACAAGAATGAAGGCTTTGTATTTTGTGGACATCTATTTCTAATCATCCTGCAATGTGTATAAAAAAGTCTTTTCAGATCAAACATGAAAGACCGTGCAAAATTTCTGAAATCAAAAAATGCACTTTGCAGCCCTCCAGTGGTAAAGTAGAATTTGGAACTCTAGAAAGAATTTAGATGTACCAGCCTTCAAGCCATCATGCTTAATATATATCATGTCAAGTGCCTAGAAACAAAGCTTACATCTTTGTGAGAACATTCAATGGATTCTACTATAAAGGAAATAAACATGACAATTGGCAAGAAGTGCTACTGCTACACGTCTGTCTACACATATCTGTGATAACTTTTATCTATATTGCAATCAAAGCACTTGTCAATCACAGAAAGTTTGAGAAACTGCCTAAAAACTGAGATTCTTTGTACCTTGTGAGCCCCCCCCCCCCACAAGCACACATTTTTGTTGATTCTGCAGACAAAGTTTTTCAAGTTCCCTTAAATATTTATTTACTCTGTTGGATGTACACAAGTAGTAACGACGATAAACTTTCTGTCTCAGAACTAAACAAATCCTCTTGACTTGTTTCTCCCACAGAACAGCTGGTGTTCTTAAGTGAAATTCAGAGGAGAAATGTAAGTATGCCAGAGAAAAGGAAAGCAAAACAACGCCATAGATGCCAAGATAAATTGCAATTGTTCTCTCAACAAATACAAAAAGCACACATTACTAATACATGAGATCAACGTATGGCCAAAATATGTCATAGAGGTAGTCATGGAAGTCACTTGGGGTTGGTGGTTGTGTGCCTTCAAGTCATTCCCAATGTATGGTGACCTCACCAATAGGCTTTCTTGGCTACATTTGTTCAGAGTGGGTCAGCCTTTGTCTGCCTCTTGAGGCTGAGAGAGGTCATCCAGTGGGTTTCCATGCATGATCACAGTCTTCAAAACTCAACCAGGGCTACCTACAGTATAATTCTACAGAAGCATTGAACTGGGTGCATCTACCCTATAGAATTGATAAAGTTGGAGGCCACTTTGTCTGCCATGGCTCAATGCTTGGGTTTGTAGTTTGCTGCGACTCTTTCAGAGAGCAATTTAAAGACCTTGTAAGAATTAAATGATCAAGGATCTGGAAAACAAGCCCTATGAGGAGTGGCTTAAAGAGTTGTGCATGTTAAGCCTGGAGAAGAGAAGACATGATGGCCATGTATAAATATGTGAAGAGAAGTCATGTTTCTGCTGCCCTGAAGATTAGGATGTGGAATAATGGTTTCAAACTGCAGGAAAGGAAATTCCACCTGAACATTAGGAAGGACTTCCTGACTATGAGAGCAGTTAAGCAGTGGAACTCTCTGCCTCGGAGTGTAGTGGAGGCTCCTCCTTTGTAGGCTGGATGGCCATCTGTTGGGGGTGCTTTGAATTTTCCTGTGATTTTCCTGCTTCTTGGCAGGGGGTTGGACTGGATGGCCCAAGAGGTCTCTTCCAACTCTATGATTTTATATCTCCCAGGATTGCATAGCATTGAGCCCTGGCAGCTAAAGTGGTATTAAACAACATACATTGTACAGTCTGCTTGTGCCTTTCCTTTATCCCAGTGGTTCCCAGCCTGCTGTCTGTGGACCACCAGTGGTCCACAAGAATAAAAATATGGTCTGTGGCCTCACCATTACTACACCGTGGCCTCGAAACAACATGCCACGAGAGCAACTGGTCTCGTGAAACCCTCTTATAGTGCCAAGGCAATGGGGGTGTTGGGAAGGGAGAGGCTGACTACCCATGAAAGATTACTACTACATTAGTTGTAGATTACTGAATATGGTTTTCTGTGGGCGAGCAAATGGAGACTACTGGATGGCATATGTTCTGTATCAGAAACTACAGCTGATGTGGTTTATCCAGTGGAATTTTCTGAATCAGTGCCCCAAATACCCAAACTATATCTAAAATTGACCAAAAACTGGTCTAAGTGGTCTCTATGCAAAGTGGTCCCTGGGCAAAGTGGTCCCCGATCAAAGTGATTCCTGGTCAAAGTGATCCCTTGGGCAAAGTGGTCCTTGAGCAATGTGGTCCCTGGTCAAGTGGTCCATGGGCAAAGTAATCCCTGGTCAAAGTGTTCCCTGGAAAAAGTGGTCCCTGATCAAAGTGGTCCCTGGTCAAAGTGACCCCTGGTCAAAATGGTCCCTGGCAAAGTGATCCCTGGGCAAAGTGGTCTCTAGTCAAAGTGATTCCTGGACAAACTGATCCCTGGCAAAGTAGTCCCTGGGCAAAGTGGTTCCTGATCAAAGTGGTCCCCAGTCAAGTGGCCCTTGGGCAAAGTGGTCCCTAGGCAAAGTGGTCTCTGGTCAAAGTGGTTCCTGGTCAAGTGGCCCACTGCTTTATCCAGTGTAACCATCAGACAAGCCTGGTTTTCTTTTCAATCCACCTGACATAGAAACTTCTAACATTTTTCTTCTTGGAATTAGGAAGGAGTGACAACCTCAAGGCGGAAGGGAGACTCTGTTTCTCAGCTAAAGCAAAAATGTACACCTCCATTTGTTAGGCAGACGAGGAGAAGTTTGCTTATGCAAGAACTAAAGCAACAAGTTCTGTATTTATAGACAGGCACACATATAGAGGCACAGACATATAGATAGATACACATTCAGAACATTCCTTTGGCCAGAGGGGCTTCTGCCGTCCCACGCAAGCAAAGCAGACGCCCTGATGGATTAGTCGCTCCAGGGCCGGCCAGCCTTTCCAGCTCGCGTGCATCCCCATCGGTGGCTTCACTGAGCGAAGGGGGAGCCGGCGGCTGCCCTCGGCTGGGCAAAGTCACCCAGGGAAGCCCCGCAGCCTGAAACTCCAAGTCCCTCGGTCAGCCCTCTTTCTCGCCCCTTCGCAGGAGACCTTCAACTTTCCCCGGTTCTTCTTCCCCCGCGTCTGAGGCGGACTGGGACTGGGAGGGATGCAGGACACCTGCTTCACCTTCAACTCTCCCTCGCGTCTGTTCTTGGAAGAAGAAACCCAGGCCAGCTCACAACCCAGACACGCCAAGGCTTTGAAGAGGAGAAGCCTCGACCATGGCCAGACAGAGGCGTTCGCCGGCAAGGGAGGCGGCGCCCCTCCGCGCTACCTGGACGGCTTACCTTGCGTGGGTGGGGGGAAAGGGGCAGACGGGGAGGCCAAGGGCGGCGGTGTCGAGGGGAGGAAGGGAGGGAACTTCGCCTTACCTTTGAGGGCGAGGAGGCTGCCGACCCCCAGCCAAAGCAGCGCCCACTCCCAGCACCGCCTCATCCTCTCTGGCGGCGGCACAAGGCTTCTCCGACCCAGCCCAGGGGCTCCCTCCGCCCTCTCTCTCTCTGGGCTCCGGCGGCAAGGGAAGGAAAGGGATGCGGCGCCTCCTCGTCGGCGCCTGCTCCTGATACTGCTACTGCTGCTGCTGCTCCCGCGCCTGCCGCTATTATTATTATTGCTGCTGCTGCTGCTGCTCAGTCATTCGCAGGCTTTTACTGCCAGGACCCGAGCAGCTCACCCGCTTTCACCGCGGGACCGCGGCAACGTCACTGGGAGGAGAGGCTATGAATATTCATGAGGAAGAAGGCGAGGCGGGAGGGAGGGAGGAAGGGATGGAGAAAAGGAGAAGAGGGATGAGCCCTGGCTGTTCCCCAGCGCGAGGGGGAAACAAGCCTCAAGTTGAGGGCGCTTAAAAGAAAAGGGGGAAAACGGACCGAGACTTCAAGCTTCCACTTGGAGAGCAGCCAGGTTCAGAGAAGGCCTGGGTTTACTTTGACCTGTGGAATGAGGGCAGTTTGATAGAATCCTACAACTGAATGAGACCCCAAGGGCCATTCAGTCCAACCCCCTGCCCTGCAGGAATCATAGAATCAAAGAGTTGGAAGAGACCTCATGGGCCATCCAGTCCAACCCCCTGCCAAGAAGCAGGAATATTGCATTCAAATCACCCCTGACAGATGGCCATCCAGCCCCTTTTTAAAAGCTTCCAAAGAAGGAGCCTCCACCACACTCCGGGGCAGAGAGTTCCACTGCTGAACGGCTCTCACAGTCAGGAAGTTCTTCCTCATGTTCAGATGGAATCTCCTTTTCTTGTAGTTTGAAGCCATTGTTTCGCGTCCTAGTCTCCAGGGAAGCAGAAAACAAGCTTGCTCCCTCCTCCCTGTGGCTTCCTCTCACATATTTATACATGGCTATCATATCTCCTCCCAGCCTTCTCTTCTTCAGGCTAAACATGCCCAGCTCCTTAAGCCGCTCCTCATAGGGCTTGTTCTCCAGACCCTTGATCATTTTAGTCGCCCTCCTCTGGACACATTCCAGCTTGTCAATATCTCTCTTGAATTGTGGTGCCCAGAATTGGACACAGTATTCCAGGTGTGGTCTAACCAGAGCAGAATAGAGGGGGTAGCATTACTTCCCTAGATCTAGACACTATGCTCCTATTGATGCAGGCCAAAATCCCATTGGCTTTTTTTGCCGCCACATCACATTGTTGGCTCATGTTTAACTTGTTGTCCACGAGGACTCCAAGATCTTTTTCACACGTACTGCTCTCGAGCCAGGCATTGTCCCCCATTCTGTATCTTTGCATTTCGTTTTTCCTGCCCAAGTGGAGTATCTTGCATTTGTCACTGTTGAACTTCATTTTGTTAGTTTTGGCCCATCTCTCTAATCTGTCAAGATCGTTTTGAATCCTGCTCCTGTCCTCTGGTATTGGCTATCCCTCCCAATTTGGTGTCGTCTGCAAACTTGATGATCATGCCTTCGAGCCCTTCATCTAAGTCATTAATAAAGATGTTGAACAGGACCGGAGCACCCAATCAAAGCATTCTCCACAGATGGCCTTCCAGCCTCTGCTTAAAAACCACCAGAGAAATAAACACCATATTCCATGACAAAATGATAATAATAATAACGCAGACAGACTACCAGCAGAGGCACAACACTGTTGCTCAGATGGATTCATTGGACCTTGTGCCACAAATACCATCTGCCTGCAACAAAGAACTGGTGTGATCACAAGCCAGAAAAGTTACAGAAAATGAACACGTCAAACTACTCTGGAACTTCCAAATTCAGACTGACAAGAGTTTTGGAGCACAATACTCCTGACCTCACGATCGTGTTAGAAAACAAAGTATGGATTGTCAATGTTGCAATCCCGGGTGACAGCAGGATTGAAGAGAAACATCTGGAAAAGCTGACACAATACGAGGATTTAAAGATCAAACTGTAAAGACTCTGGCACAAGCCAGTCAAGGTGGTCCCAGTGGTGATCGGCACACTGGGTGCAGTGCCTAAAGACCTTGGCCTGCACTTAAACACAATCAGCGTGGACAAAATTACCATCTTCCAGCTGCAGAAGGCCACCTTACTGGGATCTGCACGCATTATTCGCCGATACATCATACAGTCCTAGACACTTGGGAAGTGTCCAACGTGTGATCCAATACAACAGCCAGCAGAGTGGCCTTGTCTGCTGTGAACTCATCTTGTTGTGTTTCAAATAATAATAATCATCATCATCATCATCTTTATTTATATTCCACCCTATCTCCTCAGAGGCACTCAGGATGGTTTCCAAACATAAAAGGCAAACATTCAATGCCTGAATACAACAATAATACATCCATAGTAACAAAATTTGGCAACCCAATATATAAAAACAAATTATGACTTAACAGCTAAAATTAAATTAGAAACACAGCCTGTTATATCAAACATCAGACATCAAACAGAAGCATCAATTACCCAGTTCTTTGCGGCTAATAGATTGATCATTGCTCAAGATATCTATTGAGCTGGTGGGGCAAACAGGGCACAGATGGTAGACATATACAGGAGCCCCCGGTGGCGCAGTGGGTTACCCCTGTGCCGGCAAGACTGAAGACCAACAGGTTGGAGGTTTGAATCCAGGGAGAGTGCAGATGAGCTCCCTCTATCAGCTCCAGCTCATATGGGAACATGGGAGAAGCCTCCCACAAGTATGATAAAGCAGTAAAACATCTGGGCGTCCCTTGGGCAACGTCCTTGCAGACAGCCAATTCTCTCACACCAGAAGTGACTTGCAGTTTCCCAAGTTTCTCCTGACATGACCACTTCAGTTGTTTCATGAAGTCTGAGAGGGAATAAATAAAGGGGTAAATAAAAGGGGTAAATAAAAGCTATCAGTGCTTCTCAGCTGAGGGTTGTTTTACTGCTTCTCAAGCAGAGCAGGGAAGCTAGAGGTAATTTCTGAACCTCAACCTTTATGGAGTTCTAACTTCAGAAGAGACCTCAAGGGCCACCCAGTCCAATCCCCTGCCATTCAGGAACACACAATCAAAGCACCTCCAACAGATGGTCACCCAGCCTGTTTTCAAAATTTCTAGGAAAGGACATTCCATCTTAATCCAAAGGAACGTATTCCACTGTCAAATACCTCTTACTGTCAGGAAGGTATTCCTAATGTTTAGGTGGAATCTTTTTTTTCTCCTGCAGTTTGAATCCACTTTGTCCAGAGCAGTAGAAAATAAGCTTCTCCCTTCTCAATCTGTGACATCCTTTCAAATATTTAAACATGGCTTTCATGACCCATCTCAGCCTTTTCTTCTCCAAGCTAAACACATCAAGCTCCCTCACCTGTTCCTCATGGGGCTTGGCTTCCACACGATATTCCAAGTGATAGAATTATAAGAGTTGGAATGGGCCCTATGGGCTGTCATAAATGGCATTCATAACCTTTTGGGAAAACACCTTTTGGAGATCATAACTTTTTAGAAAAACATGACCTTTCAGAGAAGAGCCAAAAATCCTTCAGAGTAGAATCTTCTCTTGTAGTATACAACCAGATATAATTATGCAATGCAATGGTTTCAGTTTTAAGACTGAATAAACTGTTATCAATTATCAATTCGGAAAACAGAGATTTGCCAGTGCATAAAAATAGCAGTGCTTTCGAAGTGTTTTTCGGTGTGAGATACACACACACACACACACACACACACACTCCCATAAAACAACTTGTTTTATATCATGCACCTAAGAGACAATATGAAGTAGACTTTGATTAAAAAAATAACATATTTGGTTTACTTACAACCTTCATATGTTCAGCATACACAGGTACAAAACTTATCAGTCCAGTTTGAGATATGTTTGAGATAATTTTCTATGCCATCTGGCCAGGACATCTCTTACAGCAAAACAGCTATCAACAGTTCACATAGTCAAAAGGAGAGAGAGAAAGAGCATGTGGTCTGAAGCCCATTATAACTTCACAGGAACCATTGAGTAAAGGAAGCTGTATAACTGAACATACATGCAGAAAACAGTAAGCAACAGGATCACAGATAAACATATTATTAGAGAAAGACTGAAAAAGGTTGTCATTTCCAACACACTCGGCATCAAGAAGTTCCTTCTACGGTTCAATCAAAATCCAACCTTCTGTAACTTAAAACCATTAGACCTAGTTCTGCTCTCTGAGACAGCACAGAACATCAAAGCTCTTTGTAACATCTCTTCAAGAGCTGGTATCATGACACCCGTTCATTTTTCTTCACCAATTTGAACATACCCAACAACTTCATCCTCTCTTCATGTTTTGTTCTCCATACCTCTTATCATCCTTTCTGCCCTTCTCTGAACTTGCTCAAACTTGTTTATATCCTTCTTAAATTGAGATGCCCAAAACTGAACACAGTATTCCAAATGATGCTTGACCAATACACAGTATACTGGGATGATTACTTCCCTTGAGTTAAAACTATGCTTCTGTTAAAGCAGGCTAAGATAGCAATTGCCTTCTTTGCTGCAGCACCATTGCCAGGTCATATTCAACATATAATCAACAATAATCCCAAGGTCATTTTCAAATACAATACTACTGAGTCAATTCCATACCTGTGCATTTGGTTTTGGGGATTGGCACAACTTTAACTACCATGGTTCAATGCTATGGAATCCTGGGATTTGTAATGTGATAAGGCATCAGCAATTTGATAGAGAAGGATAAGGCCTCATAAAATTGCAATTCCTGTGATTCCATCACATTGAGCTATACCATTGATTCTACAGTGTAGACTCAACCTAAAGGTTTGGATAATAATAATAATAATAATAATAATAATAATAATAATAATAATAATGCTTTGTTTATAACCTGCCCTCACTCCCCAAGGGGACTCAACGCAGCTTACAACAAGAGGAAATAATTGTCACTTTTCCCTCTTTTCTGTGGGCATGGCAGAAGGAAGGATTGGGTAAGAGCAAATCTGTTTTCCTTACATGGCAATACTCTCAGTAGCTCCCTTAAGTTCTTCTTCCAACTCTGTCCAGAAAGCCAAAGAACCTGTGGAGATGGGAGGCAGAAAGGCAGAGAAGAGGCAGCCACTGCTTTTCCTTCTCTTGGCAGCAACTGGAAGGCTCTGTCACTCAAGCATGGAAATTATGAGTCCCTTCACATGTTGAGATCTCATCAGTTCAAGGCAACATAGCCAAAGGGTGTAGAATGTTGAAAATTGCAGTATCACGTATGGGAGACCACAGTTAGGGCTGACTTTAGCACAGTAGGT